GGACGAAGGTTTCTTCTAATCGATGTGTGCTCCCCACAGAGTGAACATCAGGGACACTGAGATCAGCCTGCTGAATGTGTCACTGTCACGTGTCCGTAAATCAAAGTATGAAACACGTGTTTTTAAACTCCGACCCGATTTCCTGACGAGCTGAAAGGTTGCTGCGTCCATCTGCTGCCTTTCTGTTTTCCATCAAATAAAACCGTCAGCAGATGGAGCAACGAGTGTGTGAGCAATTAGCCCGACTTCATCCGCCACATCTGCACCGCACACAAACACAGCAGGAGGAAACTGCCCCACATTTAAAAACCATCACATATATATATAAAATAACTGTATCCTCATATTTTAAAGATGCAACGTCATATGAAGGATCTCGTATCGTTCCTCACCATCTTCTCAAGCCAACAACTTGATAATAAACTGTTTTCTTGTCTCTGGCTCAGTCATGGTTCAGCTTTCTGTCAGTCAGAGGCTGCTGGTCCCAGCAGAGACTGCTGGTCCCAGCAGAGGCTGCAGGTCCCAGCAGAGGCTGCTGGTCCCAGCAGAGGCTGCAGACGCTGTCCCACTCAGCACTGGGACATGAGTCAGAGGCATCAGTGTCCCATGTGGACTTTCTACCTCAGCTGAGGGTCGAAACTTTGTTCTCTGAGATGGTTGCTCAGTGCAGACGTGAAGCTCAGCAGCAGCTCAGAGCAACAAGCTGCCGAACCAGGAGAAGTTCGCTGTGACGTCTGTCTGAAGGCTGAAGTCCCAGCTGGTGTGTCTGACCTCCTGCTGTCAGACTCACCTGGAGCCTCATCTGACAGGTCTGAGAGGACATCAGCTGATTGATGCTGTGGAGAACCTGGAAGACAAGATGTGTAAGAAGCACAAGAAACATCTGGAGCTGTTCTGTAAGACCGAGCAGACACGTGTCTGTGTGCTCTGCTCTGTATCACGAGTTTGTTCCTCTGAGAAAAGAATGTGAAGGAAAGAAGGCAGAGCTGGAGGAGACAGGCTGGGGTTCAGCAGATGATCCAGAGGAGACGACTGAAGATTCAGGAGATCACAGAGATGCTGCAGACAGAGAGAAAGCAGAAGGTGTTCAGGTCCTCACGGCTCTGAAGGAGAGACGCCTGAAGGAGCTCACAGAGGAGATCGAAGACGAACAGGAAGCTACAGAGAAACAGGCTGAAGGTCTCATCAGGAACAGGTCGCTTCATTCTTCTAACATCTGTGCTGGGCGGAGTTTAAATCCTGAGGCGGAGCAGCGTTTGTACAAACACACATTTAGCAGCAAAGCTATGAACAGGCAACCAGCCCGTGTCTGTCCAACCAATCAGAGAGCTCCTTACATCACAGAGACTAAAATTCAATTTAAATTTCAGTTTTTCTCCTTTTGACACATTTTTCTTGTAAATGAAAAGTTTGTTCATGAATTTATAAAGTTAATCTTCAAAAGCATTTCTGTGAGTTTCACCCACGCTGTGTTTTACTTTCAGTGTCTCTAACACATCCATGCAGAGACGGCAAAACAACGTCAACATGAGGAACATTCCCAGGAGAACTGGAACGTCGGCCTGACACAGATTTCAAAATAAAACAGGAAATGAGAAAAAATAACAACAGACAGACACGATGACTATGAGGCTGTAGATGTGGCTCACTTTACTGTTCACGCCGTTTTATCCGTGGACGTTTGAATCTCCCGGCTGTCCAATGACAGCAAAGCCTGGACGCAGGGACGTTACGCAGCCTAAAGGTCCAAACAGACAAAGTAAGAACAGATTTCTACGACATGCTCGTGCTTGTTTGTCTTTTGTGTATTCAGGAGCAGTTATTTGCTCTGTGCGTGAACAGCCACACAGCCTGGAAGCAGCTGTTCAGCAGCACGCTTGTCTCTTTGTGGGTTTTGTAGTTTAGTAGGTCAGGCTGACGTCTCCCATCAGCAGCTGTTCGGGTGCCCCTCTCTCACGTCTAATATCCGCTTTGCTATATTTTTCCGACTGTTGTTATTCCCCGCCTCTTGCCCCTCTCACCATCTGCTGTTGAGGACAGTTTAGGTGTGCCTGGTTTGAAAGGTATTTCCTGATTCTGTTGTTTTACCACATTTTATGAAGCAACTGGATATCCTCTGCTCATGTTGGTGCTTTATTTACAGGTCCACACACAGCGAGCTCATTCACTGCTCTCTGAAACATGAGCTCCGGGTCTTACTGTGGACTTGTTGAACTCACATAAAAACATGGAGTCGGTGTGAGCGCTGTGGCTTCATGTGAGTCATGCTGATGACCTCTGTGGGAGCTGCGACAGCGAGGAGTGGACAGCAGATGGAGTTGTGTCCTGCTCAGACGTGGACTCACATCATTCAATACTCGTCTGTGTACATTCAGTGCTGTGGTCTCAGTGGCGATCAGCAGAAAGAGCGCGAGAAAAAAGCACTATAAGCAGTAACACTGAGTTAGTACCATACATGAACTCTGTGTACATCACCTTTGATCTTTGGTCTACTTCCTGTTTTATCAGGAAGTTTTATCTTCACTGACTGACTTCTGTCTAATGGATTTGTAGCTGTTCTTGTCATCAATCAACTCGTGGACAGACTCAAATGCTCTGTAGCGGTGACACGTGACATACATGTTCATTACTACACGTACATATTGGTCAAGCTTTGACAAAAATGATTGGTGTCAGCCACACAGATGTTGATGTGGTTACACAGTGAGCTTCATCCACACTGATCACTGGGTCTATGAGTTTCTTATCATTATGACCTACTGTCGTTCTTGTGTTGAAATGTTGTGGAATACGTAACAGTTGATATAATTTAATCAGGAAACAGGCTCTCATTGGTTTGCAGGCACCAAAGGAGATGTGGGCGGAGCCAAATGAGATGTGGGCGGAGCCATTCTTCAAAGGATGGGCAGGAGTAAGTGGGGATGTTGAGCGCTTGTAAGCTTGTGTGTGGAAACATTAGAGCCCCATGAATAGAAGTGACAGTGTCATCGTTTAGTTATTCACCTGTGCGTGTTTTTATTTGTCTTTGACGTGACCGTGCGTTTGCCTTGGCTGCACCAGATTTGTGGAATAACCTTCCTATTGCTGTCTGTGCGTCTGATCCAATCACGTAAATCACAGTTACAAACCGATTTATTTAACCTCGCCTCGCCTGCTCGTTCATGCCTGTATCTGACTCCTAGACTTACTCTATTTTACCTTTTATACATATCTGTGATGGCTTTGTGCTTTTAACATGTTTAACATGCACTTTATGTTATTCCTGTGTATTAGTGACACTGACCTGTTAGCATACTTGGTACTTTGTTATGGTCCTATAATATTTATGTTTTATTTTCTGTCTTTTATGTGAAGCACTTTGGTATACCGTTGGTTTTTATAAATAAATTTGTATTGTATTGACTTTGTTAGCTTGTTAATGAGAAAAACATGAAGTCTGTGTGTGAACAGCTTTTAAACGAACCTCCATAATGTCTGCCTCAGTGCTGGTTGGAAAAATTAATGCAAATGTGTGTATATATATATATATATAATATTCTTAACTCTGTAACCTCTGTCGGTGCTGTGCTTTTTGGAAAACAAATTTCCCAGAGGAACCCACCCGAGGGATTAATAAAGTTTTATCTAATCTAAATAACAGTAACAACGAGTCTTCATCATGAGACGGTGTGATTTCCTGTGTGCTTGGCTGCCTACGTGTCCATTTGATCATGAATAAATCTGAAAGGTCAGGGCGCGTGTCTTTGCAGTTGTGCACCAAGCCTGGCTCGGGTGCATAAAAGGACTTTTTGGCTTTCTTAAATGTGTATTTTTGACATGCGTTGAACGTTTCTTCTACTAAAGATTTCTGTACTTTTAGGGGGATAATAAGTAGAAGCCTAATATTGCTTGTTTGCATAAGAACAACATTTATCCTGTACAACTCATGGACTACTCCATTTTACAGCTTTTCTGATTTTATTTTCTCCTCTTTAGATATTCAGTCAGCAGATGAACGATCTCCACCACAAACTACTCTTGTAATTAATATTTTGCAGTATTATTATTATTATTCTTTTTACAATTTTTATAGGCAAACGTCTTGCATTTTGCTGTAAATATAAAATAATTACAAAATATTTTATTATATTTTTGCACTGAAAACAAATGCGAGCAAGTTGATATATGAGTTTATTGTATATAGAAATGCTGAGTACGGCATTGGGCCGGTCAAGCCAGCCAGCTTTGACATCATCAAGTACGGTGGTGGTCCAATTGTAAAATGACCAGTCTACGTCCTCCTGTCCTCCAATCTGGCTAATTTTAGCCAGCGTTAGCTTTATTGTTTACTAGCGTTAGCTAACATGCTGACAGGACATTAAGTAAATTTGCTAAAAAGCCCCCAAAAATCAAATAAAACAAAAAAGTCCTGTTGGCTTTGACCAGTTCTCCTCAAATTCCTATTTGATCAGACTTCACTCAATAAAACTGTCTTTCTTCTGACTAATGTTAGCTAATCTTAGCTAATCTTAGCTAGCCCGCCAACATGGACATGTTAGTTGATACCCATCAGAGCAGCTAGCTGGCTAATCTTCGCTTATTGTTACACAAAAATGACATCTGGAGCCAACATTGTGTATTTTTCTCGTTGTGTGAGTTAAAGCTGTGACTCTGAGGGTTCAAGGATAAAGTTTTCTTATAAAAGAGCAGCTTAGGGCACAGAGGAGCTTTATCAGGATCTACTAACAGCAGTACTCTCAAAATCGCATGTTTAGAGCAGCCTGCTGTGGGCCCTTATTTCCTTTTAATATAATTGAATTTCAAATGTAAAAATAATCTCTGAGTGACATAATAAACAGTTATTTTAATACATATTACATGACTCCTAAATCCCCAAAGCAGCGCTTATGGCAGGCTGACAGGTGTGTGCCGCAGCCGGCCTCCATTTTGCGAGTATGGTTTTTGCCACGGCGCTGGACGTGTAGCTGGCAAAATCAAAATGGTGGCTTAAGTTATTAAAACTGAGCAGCTTTCATCACTGGCTGCTGAACGTCAAGGTTGGAGGAGCAGCGAGGATTAATGTCCTTTAAAGCACAAAGCCTGCTGTCACTGCTGCTCGCTCTCTCTCTCAGCTGATCCCGTCATCTCATCATCCCACGCCGTCCTCTGCTCTCTTTTGCTCTTTCTCTCTTTCCGGCCAGCTGTCCAGCCGACGTCCATCACTGCGGGATTTTTTTCTGCTTCTCTCTCATTTTCCCAGATTTCCTTTTCTTTTTGATTTTCCCACCATCTCTTCCTCCTCTGGATCCGGGCCGAGATATGAAGCGGCACCATGGGTTTTATGGAATTCTACCTGGAGATTGACCCCGTCACCCTGAACCTCATCATCCTGGTCGCCAGCTATGTTATCCTGCTGCTCGTCTTCCTCATCTCCTGCATCCTGTACGACTGCCGTGGCAAAGACCCCACCAAGGAGTACGCCCCTGACAACACGCCAGCGCCGCCCAGCCAGTCGCCCATACGCCTGGTGGTCATGCAGAACTCGCCCACCACCACCCGGTACGAGCCCAACAACAAAGCGGGCCACGCCGAGCTGCCGACGCCTGACCTGAGCCGGGATAGAGGAGAGCGGGAGCGGGAGAAGAGGAGTACTCTGGTCTGAGAGGAAGAGGAAAGTTCAGACGGATAACCATGAAGTGCTGCTGTTTCATTCTCAGACTCTTATTTTTTAAATTCAACATCCCGGACGGCGCCGAGGAGCCAGGAGGAGGTAAGGCGTCCCGAGGAGGCCACTCAGCAGGCCTTTGGTGGGTTTGATGGAGGTACTGGTCCATGTTTGATCGAGGTACTGGTCCACGTGTGATGGAGGTGCTGGTCCACGTTTGATGGAGGTACTGGTCCATGTGTGATGGAGGTACTGGTCCATGTGTGATGGAGGTGCTGGTCCACGTTTGATCGAGGTACTGGTCCATGTGTGACGGAGGTACTGGTCCATGTGTGATGGAGGTGCTGGTCCAGGTTTGTTCGAGGTACTGGTCCATGTTTGATGGAGGTGCTGGTCCACGTTTGATCGAGGTACTGGTCCATGTGTGACGGAGGTACTGGTCCATGTTTGATGGAGGTACTGGTCCACGTGTGATGGAGGTGCTGGTCCACGTTTGATGGAGGTACTGGTCCACGTGTGATGGAGGTGCTGGTCCACGTTTGATCGAGGTACTGGTCCATGTGTGACGGAGGTACTGGTCCATGTGTGATGGAGGTACTGGTCCATGTTTGAT